TCAGAATGACTGTTCAGAAAAGAGAGAATGAGGGCTGGCTGGTTAGCACAGTTGGTTAGAGTGCCACCTTGTAACAATAAGCTCAGGGGTTTGGATCTGAAGACTGGCCAGCTGCCAAAAAAACAAAAAAAGAAAAGAGAGAATGTTCTTCCTCGTCTGAATAACATGGCTACTTGAGGAAACTGAACACTGAGGGTACATTAGCTTGGTTATAGCCCCAGGCCTGCATCAAAAACCATGGAAGTCACAAAGGGTTTCTGAGAGTTGGGGAGGAGACAACAAGAGGAGGGTGTGTCCACAGCCCCTCACCCGCCCACCCACCAGCACAGCAGATCCCTCCACCCCTCCTGGGCCCTCTAGGTCTCTCTGCCCTACCCTGCCATCCCATTTTCCAACTTCACTCTTTCTTCATACCTTATATTTACCTTAGTAAAATTTCCTGTTTGTTCCATCAGTAATCCAAATATTACCCAAGTCCCCCTTTACTGTTTGGAGCCATTGACCTGAATCCCACCAGGTCCACTGCCTTCAAGGTCTGAAATACTTCCTGAAATTTTTGCTTTTGGGATCATATATGTCCTCAAATCCATCTTATGTACAGAATGTTTTTGCCTTACACTAACTTAAATTACAGTTCTTTTGTGTTTACTTAGTTTTGTGAGTGCCAAATAGTAAATTTTTATTTCAGCCTTTATTTCAGTCTTCAGCGGGCTGATTCAAAGAATTAAAACTGATAATTCATTGTTCAACATTGTTTAAGGCTGAAATAAGTGTAAAATAAATGTATACAATTAAAACATCAAGCAATCTTGGGGGTAAGTTTATAACACTTATTTTTCTGAAGTTAGTGAATTTAGTAACTGTTCAATGAATTTTGGGACATGCTCTATACAAACACACACACACACACACACACACACACATCCTTTGACAAACCAATCCAGTATTTTCAAATCCAAGAATCAATTATTTCCTCCTTTTATTTCAATCTTTCATTTGTTATTTTGACCCCACTTCTTCTAACTCTACCTAAATACACAGTCCCAGACCACTACATCAATTTCGTAACAGGTATGTGACTCTCACAAACCAGGGATAGGTTACAGTGTGCTTAGCTATTGATCCCCTTGGTCCTCAGTGGCAGGGTGAGCCCTAGGAGTGTCAAAGCCCTAGGGCAGAATCTAATCTTGAGCAGCCTCACCTGATTACCACTATGGGCTGGGTAAATGTGATATTTTCCTTCTTAGTGCCTTGCCATGGAAAAAAGGTTGAGAATACCTGCCCTGTATAATCACCCCTGCAAATGTCTGAAAATCAATTACCTGTCACACTCAGGCTCCTCTTGTCAGATTTAAATAATCCCAATATCTTCCCCACCCCACCCCTCTTTCTATACCTTCTTTTCTAAACTCTTTATCATCATGACAACTGTCTGAACTGTCTCCTAGTCTTTCTTAAACTGTGAAGCCCTTTGTTTGACACCCAGGGTTCAGAACTGTTACTTTATCTCCTTTGAAGGGGTAAGACAGCCTTCAAGCCAGGCAGTCTCTTTTCAATTATACAGAAGCAGGTAACCCGCCTTGAGGATAAAATCTGCCAAGAGGTGCCACTTTCTCCTCTCTCTGATATGCAGCCTCAGCCAAGTTTTCATTTAATAAATATTTACTGCTGGAAATTCAGAGACACATACATGCATTTATAAGTGACACAGTGTGCCCTTTAGGATCTGATGGTGCGGGTGTAGAGATAAGTTTTTTTAAAAACTCAAAATGACAGGGGAAATATGGATGGGATTGTTATTTTATTTTTTTAGTTACACAAAAAGAGGTGTATTTACTTTATATTAAGTGAAAAAATAAAAATGGAAGATATACAATAATCTCACTTTGTAAAAGGTACATTTTACATAGAGAAAGGTTGGAACAATATATAAACATATTAACAGTGATTATTATCACTGGGTGGGATTAGGAGGTGATACTTTTATTCTTTTTTTTTCCCTAAAAGCTCTATTTAATTTTTTAGATAAAGTTATCAAATATATCCAGAAAAAGTAAGAATAGAGACGGAAAGTAAACTAGTAGCTGTGGTGGGAGGTGAGAAGGGAGATTAACAGTAAATGGGCATGAGAGATTTTTCAGGGCATCCCTAGGATATTCTAAATGTTCTATAACTGATTTACATTGATGTTGCATCACTCTGTAAAGTTACTAAAAATGATTGAATTATACTCTTTTTTTTTTTTTCTTTCGTGTCCGGCAACGGACCGCAACCCTCAGTGTTGTGCCCGTACCGGACCGGGACCGGCAACGGGATTGCAACCCTCGGTGCTGCGCCCGCCCCTCGCTCAGCCAGTGAGCGGGAACCGGTCTGTATGTGGGATCCGAACCCTCGGCGGGAGCGCCGCCGCACTCCAAAGCGGTGCACTGTAGCAGTGCGCCACCGGGCCGGCCCCGAATTATACTCTTGAAACACATAATTTTATGGTATGTAAATAAACCTAAATAAAATTGTTAAAAACGTATTATGTTGGGGTACTTCAGAAAAGTTCGTGGAAAGATAGAATTAAAAGATAATGAAAATCTTTCCATGAGCTTTTTGAAGACCCCTATATATGGGTACGTATCCTTAAAAAATTAAAACAATGCAGAAATATTTAAGTCCTTCACCTGCATACCCAGTTCTACTTTCCAGGCGTAACCAGTAGCAATTAGTGTTTAATCTCTTTTTTGACCCATGATAACTGTATTTGTGCAGTGTGCAGTGATCATGTCAGTGTGTTTGGCATATCCATCCCTTCGGACGTTTGTTGCCTCTTTGTATTGGGGAATTGAGGTTGGGTGGCTGTTTGTTGTTGGCTGTGGTCTCCCTGTACTGCTGTGGAGCGCTGGGTCTCATTCTTCCATCTCTCTTCCAGTGCCCCATTCCCTCCTCCCCTTGCTGGCCTGTGGTAGCCCTTGTTCTGCTCTCTGCCTCTGTGGGATCGGCGTTTGGGGCTTCTGCGTGTGGGTGGGAGGGTGAGGTTTTTCTCTTTGTGTCTTGCCTGTTTCAATTGGTTGAGTGGGATGAGCCATCATGGGGTAGGGGTGTGTTCTCACTCCTGCAGAGGCTGAGGGAGTTGATCTCATGGGGGTAGGGAGGGGGTGGTCCTGGGTGTAGAATTGTGGAGAGGTGAGAGGAGTGGGATCTGGTGTTGTGGTAGTGTCAGCAGTTGGCAACAGGTTACTGTGTGGTTTCTGGTGGCTGGTGGGGAGGTGGTAAGTGTTCCCTGCCAGGATGTGGTGGGTATTTGAGGTGACAGATGTGCTAGGTGCCCTGGTATGATCATTGCACAGTGTAGATCTGTCCAGGTATCATGTTGTGCTCTGTGAATATGTGCAATTGTCATGGGTCAATTAAGAAAATATCAAAAGAAAAAAATTTCAGAGACAGAAGTAGATTAGAAGTTACCAGAAATGGAGTGGAAGAGATAATGAGAAGCTATTGCTTGATGGGTACAGGCTTTATGTTTAGAATGATGAAAAAGTTTTGGAAATAGATAGAGGTAGTGGTTGCACAGCATTGTGAATGCAATTAATTCCATGCAATCGTATGTTTAAAAATGCTTAAAATGGCAATTCTTATGTATGTTTTACCACAATAAAAAATGGAAAAATAAACAAAAAAAGGGGGAGAAAGCTCGAGGAAAATGGAATTAAAAGATAACACAAATCTTTCCATGAACTTCTTGAAGATCCCTCAAAAAAATAAAGGCAAGTTTTATCCCCACACCCTTAAGAAAGGATTTGTGCCCAGCTGACCAACAGTTGTGGCCATGACTGGCCCCCCTCTGGTGGGGCAGAGTAGCCAAGAGGGTCAGGGCGCAGCAGGTACTGAAAGGAGCCCTTTCCTGACATCACTGAGGCCAACTTTCAGGGCTGCTGGGGAAAGGGAAGGAGCCAGGGGACTCCTGAAAGAGGAAGTAGGTCCACCTCCTGTTGGGGTTAGGGCCAGTGCCGTACTAGAGCTAGCCTGACTCTTAAGAACCAATAAAGAGCAACTCTTTCTAGCTCTGCATTCAGTAAGCTCACATTGGTAGCAGCAGACCACTGGTTAGGAGTCAAGCTGAGAATCACAGTCTATAGACCAGGCACCAGAGCTAGAAGCAGAGAATTTGAGTGAGGGCCAGAAAGTGGATAATCTTCTAGATTACCCACGAACATAAGCCCTCTCCCCATGGCTGCTGTAATATGCAAAGGCCAGGCAGGTACCTGTCTACCAGAATCCTAACAGTCCTCTCTGCAGGAACACAGGGGCAAGACCCTGGTCTGCCCTAACCCTGTACTACAGAGTAGTTACTGTCCTCACAGTCCAAAGATGATGCAATCAGTTATTCACACTATGTCTTTGGGAGTTGGTTTCACATTCCCATGCTATTGCTCATTCTTGGGGCTTGAAGTTTCCACCAACTAAGATGTAGTTCCCCTCCCTTCAAACCCATTTCCATCCTTTCTCATTTTTTCTACATTTCTCATCCCATGTTCCTCCAACCAGAGCCACTATCCAAGGACCACCTGCCCCAAATCCACTGTGGCCTGGTCCCTCCCCTCCTGGACAAACTCTTCCCCCCTCCACCCCGCCCAGAGACCCCAGTCCACTCTGACATCTCCCCACCTCCCTTTCTCCCCCAAAGTGGAACTAACCTATAACTTCAATTGAGTAATGTTGAAATGAGGACAAACCACAGAACACAGGGCCTTCTTCCATTCCTAAATCTAGAGATCAGCAGCTCAATAAGGTCAGACACATTTGAGGACTATAAACATCTTAGAACTGCCTCCCAAAACCTAGACACTGGCAGCTGAGATCTGACCAGAGATGACCCAGAGCAGGATATCTGTGAGGCAATGACCCTCCTTCCACTGAATGGAGCTTAAAGCGATTGTGTGTGTCATGGTTATCATATGATCAAGCTATATGATTATGGCATGATAAGCCAATTTTTCCAATAACAACATCTATTGGTGTAAATAGTGCTTTATTGTTTACACATTTTCTCATTTAACCCTTGCAGCAACCCTGAGGTAGGTATTATTATCCCCACTTTAAAGATTAGCAAACCAATGTCCCTAGGTTAGGTCACTTGCTGAAGATCACACACTTATTAGTGGCAAAGACACTGATAATTCCAAACCCAAGGGGACTCTTTTGAGTAGTTCACAGGCTGCTGTCAAGGAAAGTAGAGCAGAAAACTTCAACTGGGAAGGGCTGGATTATTCAATGGAGCTTGAGGGGGTCCCTCACCGGGGATGAAACAGGCACATTCACAGGCCACCACCAGGACTGAGCAGAAGCCTAGAGCGCGTGAGAGCTGTGAAGCAGAAAGAGGTCAACATTTGCTAAGCTGACAGTGTCTTCAAATCCACACAGAGCCCAGATTCCAGGGCTGGAGAAAGAAGAAGGGATCCAGAAGATACAAGTCCAAAGACTGGCCACAGGGCAAGTGAAGAGAAGTCAGGTGGAGAGAGGCCAGGAAGAGCTGCCACGGAGAGGCACTATCTCAGCTTGGCCAAAGTGCAGTGATCTGGGACAGTGGTCTTTTAACTCTGTTAAGGCCTTGGGAATCTGATGAAAGCCATAAAACCTCCCCACAGAAAAATACAGACACACATGTACAGACATTTCACATATAATTCCAGGGAGTCCATGGACCCTAGGTGGGGGACTCTTGCTTTAGGGCAAGGATGTCACCCTAAGTCAAGTCACTGATGCAAACCTGTCTTTATGCTGCATTTCCTGTGAATGCTCCCCTTTTGTCATCCCCTAATATTTAGAATGTCGTGAAGTTAATTTTTAAAGAGTCAAGGAAAGGGAGTTCAGCCTGCATTCCAGCCAGAGAAACAGCAGCTGTTGCATGGCAGTGGCAGCAGCCAGAAGGCAAAACAAAGAAAGGATGGGGTCACATATACCACTGCCTTTCCCATCCAAAAGGTCACATTGGGAGCTTTTCTCTACTCAAATCTAGAGAAGGGGTATGAGACAACGGGGAGAGGGGCAGTGTTTTACTTCCTTTTAGAAGGGAAAGCCATTCCCTCACTGGCTACAGAGTCTAAAGTTCTGTAGGCAATGTCCCCATCCAACTTTCCCCCTCCATACCCCCCATAAATACACCTAAGCAGAGGCCCAGCCATTCATCCACATGTGGCCAGGTCTCCCATGAACACCCATGTATTTACACACACTCTTTCACAGAAGAAGAAAAACTGGGATGGGGGAGATTTCAGGGCAGAAATTCCATGTTGCAACATGGGGATCATGCACTCCCCACAGAGGATCAGAAAAACCAGGAGAATTGGCAAAACCACCCCAAGGACTCAGTGCACATTAGCCCCAAACTATCTTCACGGCTCTTCGTTCTGGACAGGGCCCAACGAGAAAGCAAAGTCATAGCTATTTACTGTGCCCCATCCCCAAAACTAATGGGCCCAAGATAGGGGGCCAGGACTGAAGGGGTTCAGATGTGGAGGAAGCCCCAATTTGCTGCAGAGAGCAGTTCTAATCTCTCATGGGAATCAGCAATCAGGCAAGGGTCTGGCCCCAAGCCCATCCAGGCCTGGAGAGGGCAGACACTGAGGTCTAAGTCATCACTCAGACTCAAAGAGAACAGAGAGGCCATAGCAGTCTTCCAGGCCCAGTGACCACCGGCATTTCAATGGTTACTTCATTCCAGTGATAACTCATACACTAGTGGCCATTTGCCCAGCTCTAGATGGACGTTTCATCACACGTGGCTATAGGAGCCCCAGTTAGCCGAATGTGGGCTGGACTTGGGCAAGGATCAAGCAGGAAGGGTGGAGGGAAGCCACCAAAGCCACTGCCCCTCTTGGCCAGGGCCAGGGGAAGCCGCTCATCTTCAGGAGACGGGGAGGGAGGTTCTTGGCTGTAGCTTGTGGTTCCAGATGGTGGGGCCCCCAGGTCCAAGCCCACCTTGTCTCTAGCCAGAAGTTCCCTCTGTCGCCGCTGCTGCTGATGCCGACCAATCAAGAGGAGAGTAAGGGATGCTGCAAGAACCCCTAGGAAGAAGCCAGCCAGTCCAGCCCCCACTGTGTGGGCCTGGCTCGAGGGGCCCTGCTGGCTGCCCCACACCAAGCTGTAAGCCGCCACCACACGGGCTGCCCCACCCTCCTGACATTCACAGGCATAAGCGCCCATGGCCCCTGGGGTCACCACCACCTCTAGCCCATCCCGCCGGGGTGTGTGGGCAGTCACTCCACCAGGTTGGTGCCACACACAGGATGCCCATGCCGAGCTTGGGGAACATGGCAAGACCACATGTGCAGCTGTAGCCACAGGAACTTCAAACACTACTGGGTGTCCTGCAGAGAGAAAGCAAAGGCACAAAAGGGTGAGGCCATAGGCTGGGGATGTAATAGAGAGAAATTTGGGGTCATATTGGACATGAGAAGGGGCCCTGGGGACAAAGCTAAAAAGGGGATTCCTGAAGAGGGTAAAGCCCTGACTGCCATATCTTCCATGATCCAAATTTTAGAGTGGGTCCAAAATGGAGAACTTTCTAGACCCTTTCCATGCATTCCACCCCATTTCCTTAAATCATACAGACCTCCAGGCTCTTTGGGACATAGAGAAGAGACATCTGCTGACTCTATGTCTTGGACCAGCCTATAGAGAAGAGAATACTTGGTAAATCCAGTGTGAACATTCCCTTCTACCCTCCTCAGTAGCACTGAACATTCACTCACTCGTTACATCTCCCATCATCTCAGAAATCACTCCTGGAATTATTGGTCAACATTCCCCTCATCACCAAATTTTTCCCCCAAACCTCTTGCCTTGTCAAATACTACACATATTTCTAGCAGACTATGGATAGCTAAATTTGCACTAGGTCTGTTGAAAAGATGGTTGGTGGGGGTGCTTTAAAAGAAATATAAGAACCTTCCGAGAAATACACCTTATTATCCACAACCACAGATTTCTCTGGGGAAAAAATATAAAATATAGTTTTTCTAATATTTAAGAGAAAAAGCAAACTACTTTTCTGTAAAAGCTAATCAAAATTCTGTGAGGGTCAGTGAGATTACTTTTTTGTTTTGTAAAAGCTGCTGATCTCTACAGAGGAACTAACTCTTTTCAACAGCTGTTGATATATATTGGCCTTTAATGGATCTGTTTTAAACAACACAATCCTGGTACTTCCGAGATTTGGGTGGACTGTGTCTGATAAATGGATGGCAAGATGACTGCTCGCTGCTAAACTCTTTGGCACCACTTCCAGAGGTGCCAATGAGACCTCTAATAGGGCTGTCAGTGAAGGCCAGGTAAAAGGTCTGAACACATAAAAGCCTCAGCCAAAGAGAGACTCCACTTGAGTGTGAACTCCTTTGATATGAACTTTGAGGTCCCTGAAATGAGATCCAAGACTGGTCTGAATGGCTGGAAATTTCCTGGATAAAACCAAGGTGGATCAGTCTAGCTGAAAATGGGGAATGTGGGGAGATCACATGTACAGCTATAGCCACAAGAGCTTCACAGTCTATGTTCCCCACTCCCCCCAACACACATTGTATGAATTGAGGTTAAGAAGGGTAGAGTGTACAGAAGCACCAACCCAAGACACCGGCATATATACACACACCCCGCACTCCAACGTCACACCCCCCCACACACATATCTTAAGGGAACCCTTGAAACTCAAGTACACAGGATATCTAAGACCAGTGAAATTCTTATTTTAATGAATATTAAAACGATAAAGCACTTGCTTTTGTCTTAGATGTTTAAAAGTTGTGCCAAAAGAAACTAAAAGACCAGGTCAAAGTTCTTAACCAAAAATGAGAAGCTGGCCAAGCCTGCCATCCAAGAGTTATTTTATATCCCTAATTGGCAAAAAATCAAGAATCTGACCAAGAGATGGCACAAGATTTTATACTCATAATTCAAAATGAATCAGGAAAACAAAATTAAATTTTATATCTACTCTGATTATATGTCAGTTATTATCTTAAGCATTTTCACTCTGCTTTGACATGTGCAAATTAATCTGTTTTATTCCCAAAGACATGTACTTTTACTTCTAAATGATTTGTAACCTTGGGGTTTTGTAATATAATGTGGTTATATATATAATTAGGGTTCTATAATATACGAATATACTGTAAGTTAACTGGGCTTCAAAACAGGAAATCTCAAGGTCAATTTGAAAAAATAATATCAATTAAAAACACTTCACTGAGAGGATCTTAAATTAAGATTAAAAGACACTTAAGAAGCATATCAACCAATTACGATTGATGAACATTATTTGGATCCTGAAGTAAAAAAATTTTAAGTATATGCAATTGGGGAAATTGGAACATTGACAGGATATTTGATGATATTAAGAAATTAAGTTTTTGGTATGATAATGGTAATATGGTTATGTTTTTAAAAGAGCCCTTCTATGTTAGGGGGGCACACAGAAAGATTTATGGATGAAGTGATATCTTATGAAGCCTAAGATTTGCTTCAAAATAACTGGGAGTAAGTAAGGGTATTGGTGAAGCAAGATAAACCAGGAGTTGACAGTTGTTGAAGATGACGAACGGACACATGGAAATCATTATACTATTCTCTCTACTTCTGAATATGCTTGAAATTCCTAGAACAAAATGTTTTCAAAGAGACTCCTTATCTGTTAGAGATACATGTTGAAATATTTAAGATAAACATATCAGGGATTTGCTTCAATGTGACATATGCTTTTAAGCTAGCTGTTGAGTGAAAAATGGATGGCAGGATCCCAAAATTGACAAGAGAAGACCAATTAGGAGATTATTAGAGTAGTCCAGTTAAGAAGTGATGATGGTCTACAGCCATACCACCCTGAACATGCCTGATCTGGTGTGATCTTGGAAGCTAAGTAGGGCCAGACTTGGTTAGTACTTGGATGGTGATCTGCCTGGTAACACTGGGTAGTACAGGAAGAAGAAAGAAGAAAGAAGGAAGAAGGAAGAAAAAGAAGAGGAAGAAGAGGAAGAGGAGGAGGAAGAGGAAGAGGAGGAGGAAGAGGAAGAGGAGGAGGAAGAGGAAGAGGAGGAGGAAGAGGAAGAGGAGGAGGAAGAGGAAGAGGAGGAGGAAGAGGAAGAGGAGGAGGAAGAGGAAGAGGAGGAGGAAGAGGAAGAGGAGGAGGAAGAGGAAGAGGAGGAGGAAGAGGAAGAGGAGGAGGAAGAGGAAGAGGAGGAGGAAGAGGAAGAGGAGGAGGAAGAGGAAGAGGAGGAGGAAGAGGAAGAGGAGGAGGAAGAGGAAGAGGAGGAGGAAGAGGAAGAGGAGGAGGAAGAGGAAGAGGAGGAGGAAGAGGAAGAGGAGGAGGAAGAGGAAGAGGAGGAGGAAGAGGAAGAGGAGGAGGAAGAGGAAGAGGAGGAGGAAGAGGAAGAGGAGGAGGAAGAGGAAGAGGAGGAGAAGGAAAAGGAAGAGGAGGAAGGAGGAGGAGGAGGAGGAAGAGAAGGAGGAGGAGGAGGAAGGAGGAAGAGGAGGAGGAAGGGGGAGGAGGAGGAGGAAGGAGGAGGAGGAGGAAGGGGGAGGAGGAGGAGGAAGGGGTAGGAGGTGGAGGAAGGGGGAGGAGAGAGACAGCCAAACTGCTGGAGCTTCATGTTATTAGTGATGCACTACAGGAAACACAGGGCTGGGTGACAATATATACCTGTCCCCAAATATACCTGTCCCCAAGTAGAGGAGGAGGAGGAAGGGGGAGGAGGAGGAGGAGGAAGGGGGAGGAGGAGGAAAGAAGGAGGGAAGAAGGAGGAAGAAGGAAGCAAGGAAGGAAGGAGGAAGGGAGGGAGGGAGGGAGGGAGGGGAAGAAGAAGAAAGAAGAAAGAAAAGAAAAGAAGAAGAAGAAGAAGAAGTCGTCGTCGTAGTAGTAGTAGTAGTAGTAATGATGGCTTAGACTGCAGTGACAGCAGTAGAGGTAGAGAAGGCTGCAAACTGAGGATATGTTTTGAAGCTCGAATCAGTACAAACTGTAATACAATGTGAGCAATTTCCGGCTTGAGCAACTGGATGGACGGAATTCCCTTTACTGAAATGAGGAAACCCAGAGGAGGAGCATGTGAGGGAAAGAGGAAACAAGAGTGCATATTTAGACTTGCTAAGTTTGAGTTGCCTGTGAAGAATCCAAGGGGAATATGAAGTGGGCAGTTGGACAGGGAGTTGCGCAGCTCAGCTAGAGATACCTTCGTGGTCGTCATCTGCACTCAGACGGTACCGAAAGTAATGGGAATGAAATCACCTAGAGTGTAGAAGTGTAGAGAGAAGGTGTCCAGGGGGAAACCCTGAGGAATATTAACATTCAGTATTTGGATGGGAAAGGAGTCAGTAAGGGAGGCGGGAGAATGCAGAGCCACAGAAAAAGGAAAGAGTATTTCAAGGAAGGAGGGAGTAGGCAACTATGAAAGCACTTCTGAGAGCTCTTGTAAGATGAAAACTGAGAAGAGTCCACTCGAGATGGCAACATGGAGTCAGTCACACAGTCAGGGCAGGTCCAGCAGAGAAGCAAGGACATTGATAAGGCAGCACCAGATGAACAGACAATTAGTCGGTGTGGACTGACAGATGGACACACAAGTGATGCAGACACTAATAGATAAAAGAAAAAAAGCACACACAGATAAGACAACATTAACAGATAAGAAACAGACAGACATATAGATGGGGCAGAGCCCTGGGACAGCAGGCAAGAGACCAGCGCAGCTATACTCACCCTCGGTGCTTCCTGGCATGGGCCACACACTCATCCAGCTGGAAGCTCCAGGCACAGACAGGGTCTTGGGCCAGGATGCACTCTGAGCAGCTCAGGAGACGGTTACAGTTGGTTGTGTTCACTTGGGTCACCTCGGTACGAGAGCCAATCAGGAGCCAGCCCTACAGAAAGGAAGTGGGGAAGAGGAATACACTGGATCTCCCAGACCTCAGGGTCACTAGCTCTGGACCCAGGTGTCTCCTCACCAGACTCCCCAAAATATACAACTCACTTGGTATAATTTCATGTTCTCAACTGGCCGTGGCTCTGGGAACAAGGCCAGATCCTCGAGGACACTGAGCTGGGCTCCAATCCGTACTGCTCGATGAAGGTGTCCATCCTCTAGGAGGCAGGCAAGGGACAAGAATAATGAAGTAACTGTCCCAGTGCCCAGGACTCTGATACCTGTATGTATTAAGGGACACTCTTTGTGATGAGAGCATGTATATGTTGAGTAGGCAACTTGCTTAACTATTAAATATACCTGTCCCCAAGTAGAGCACATCATACTCTTTCCCTGAGAGGCTGGTCACCCTGTGTGCCACAACTCTGAGATAGGATGTATCCGTGGTGACCAGCAGGGGGTGGCCATCAACTGGAAACACTGGCCTGTCCATGAGTGGGTGGTCCCGGATGAAGGTGAGCACACGGTCAGGCAGGGAGAGAGACGAGCCAAACTGCCGGAGCTTCATGTTATTAGTGATGCACTACAGGAAACACAGGGCTGGGTGACAAAGCTTCCTGGGGAACAGGAAGTGTCAGTGATGCTTAGTGGAGCTCCTGCCCTAATGGCAGATCTTCAATGCAGGCCTGGGATGAAGATCTGCCCCAGCCCCCTCACCTCTCCAGGTCTGGGCTGCGGCACATCATTGTCCGTGACAGGCAGTCCCCTGTTGCAGTCATGTTTTAGCTCTCTGAAGGGACCATTCAGCACCATCCGAATGTCTTGTGGTCGGAAGGCACAGACAGCAGAGATGGCAGCCCCCTCCCTAAAAGAGTCACAGGTTGAAGCCAGATATTTAGAGGGAGCTCAGGGATAGCAACTCATCCCTTGTCAAATGAGATGACCTATGAGAAATGCACAGGGAGCCACATGGCCGAGGGAGGGAAAGTCCACCCCTCTGGAGGAGATGGCACTGACACTGCGCCAGCCCCACACATCTCCCACCCTGTAACTCTCCTCCACACCAGAGCCCCTCACCACTGGGAGGAAAAGATGCCATAAAAGATAGGGGTCCCCATTCCAGGCTCAGGTCGAAGCACAGCCACGTCCTGCAGGACAGCAGAGGCCCGGCCATGCTCAGGCCCTGGACACAGAAGGTCAGCCTTCAAAAACGTTGTCCACCTCTGTTGGAGAGTCTTCCGGCCCCCGAGGTCCCCCTGGGGTGACAAGCACATGGCAAGTTCTCTTTAGAAGATCAACATTGGGCAAGGAATGTGGAGACGAATAAAAGTTTCCTCAGAGCTGACTTCAGGGCAGACACGGACAGATGGAAGACAGATGCATAGAAATGCAAGGACAAAGATACAGACAGAGCAACTGTGGGGATAATGAGATACAGGGGTGAATGGAGTCACAATAACAATGACAGTGAGTAGGTCCACTGTGCACTTATAAAGTACTTTGCTACATGTTGTGCATAAGTTACCTCATTTAGTCCTCAAATAACCTTTACAGATAGGCATGATTATCCTCATTTACAGATGACTTTCAAAGGAGCTAAAGAACCTGCCTGGAGTCACACAGGCAGTCATCAGTGGAGTGGGGACTCAGTTGCTGTCCCCTAACTCCTTCTAAATATCTGGCTCCAACCTGGGACTCTTCCAGGGAGAGGGCTCCATCTTGAACCTGGGTCTGTCTGTCACCAGTTCCTGCCTTTAACCTACACACTAGTCCACCTCCTGTGGACAGTGTGTCACAAGGATAATTGTGGGGGTCAAAGAGGCCAGAGCCCCTCCCCCCCACTCTTCAAGCTTCCAGAAAATAAGACAAAGCATAGAAAAAAGGAGACAGAGGAGAGATGCAAAGACAGAGACCCAGAGAGTAAAAGACAGGAGGACAGACAGAGTGAGAGACGACAGACAGCTGTGATGGAGGTCTCACCGCACATACACGGGCCACCCGCGGGACCTTAATGCGCTCATATGAGTCAAATGCTCGGGAAGTCTCCGTAAAGAAGAAGTAGATTTCGTCGTCTCCATCTTCATCTCCCCATTCAGTTGGGCTCAAGGCCATGGCTGCAACAAAGGCTGGAGCTGGGAAGACCAGTGGCCTCAGATACCCACAGACACAGCCTGGGGCCACCCAGCCTCCACCCTATCTGTCCCCCAGAGCACCCCTGTCCCTCTCCCCACCGTTAAGCCAGGATGACAAGGTCTCTGTCCGAATCCAGTCCTCAGCACGACCCACAGCCCGGGTGATAATTGGCTCCGTCCCCAGGTAGTTTTTCACAGTGGCAGCATAGAGGACCCCCCCTGCAGGGTGACAGGGAGAAGATGGGCTGTCAGAGACCCACTGAGGGAAGCAAAAGAGGTCACAGACAGAGCAGGTAATAAAGCAGGGCAGCGGCTCTCAGGGACTGCACACCCACTAAGTGCCAGGCATCACTAAGCACATTACAGATATCACCACACTTAAACATAGAAACAAACTGCTCCAGGGCAGTAAGGGAAACCAGGGTTAAGGAAAAACTGCTGGAATATCCATGTACATGAAGAGAGAAAAAAGGCCTCCATTGTGGAAATTAGCTTTGTTTGTTTAGGTTTTCTTGCTGTTGTTTCAGAAACCCTGTAATATGCTAATTGTGCTGTGACTCCCCAGGAGGACGGTTTGCTTTGCAGCATGTCCCAACTTAACTTAAGTTCTCCCACTATGGCAAATGTCTGAGGGAACTAGTGTTCTTTCTGAACATTAGGGGGTATATATTGCTCTGGAACAAGTCACTACTTTAGGGTATTCTAGCATCACTTGAGGAATTAATTAAATGCAGAATCCTAGGCCCAGCAATTCTCATTCAATAGACCTGCAGGGTGGCCCAAGACCTACATTTCAAACAGGCAGTTGGAGTTATTCTGATTCAGGTGATTCAAGACCACTTTGTTTGAGAAACACCAGCCTAGCGGATGAATGGAGGTTTCACAAATAGTCACAGATAGTAATCAGGTCCTCCCTCCTGGTACAGTGGCAGGGCAGAGGTGCTCTACGGGTGGTGGGGATGGGAGAAGAGAGAAATTGCAGACCCCCTTGGAAGGAAGAGAGGTGCGGCTCTGTGGGCTGGATGCAAGAGAAATACAGCCACTCTGAGTAACACTGCCAAGGGTTCAGACACGAATACAAAGAAAACGAACCGGGGTAGTAGAAGGTCGCGAACACCCTGGAAGACTCTTGAGTATCACAGGCATTCTGGAGAGAAGGAGGCAACTGGCCTTCACCACCCAGTACACACAAGGCACTGTGGTGGTGCTAAGCACAGCACTGCCCCCAATAACTCCTATTTGAGTCAGGAAGGCAGGCATGTAATCAGACACCAGGAGGTGTGGACTAATAGATGACGGATGACGGCACAGAGGAGGACCCAGCTACATCTACCTGCGGGAGCAGCATCTCAGAGGCAACCTCTGAGCTGGGTCCGAAGAATGAGAAATTTGCCGGATAAATGGAGGACTTCAGGGAGGAAGACAAGCAAGCAGTGAAGAGAGGAGCCAAGCTCAGGCATGTGGGACGCTGGTAGCAGAAGCTCCAGAGGGGCAGAGGGGGCTGCCGGCAAAGCAAGTGAGCAGAGCTGGAGGTGTGGAGATGGGAGCCCAACTGTGATGGGTCTGTTCTGCCAAGCCACGTAAGAGTAAAACTGCAGAGGTTTGGGGTAGGGGGAGTTGTTTGGGTTTTGGCTTTTTTGAAGAGAGTGACAATCAGCTCTGTTTTTTAAGATAATAATGCTAGTTAAAAGGCCATTCACACAATCCATGCAGGAGTGGAAGGTCCGAACTAAGGCAGGGACAGGAAGAATAAAGAGGCTAGATTTGGTAGAATCCATTAACAAGATCTGAAAATCAATTGCATATGAGATGTGAGAGAATGGAGTAAAACAACGTCTCTTAAGGTCTCTAGCTTATAAGATTGATGATAGTAGACAGTGATACTATTAACCAAGCCAGAAAATGTTAGGAGAAGGCCCATAAAGGAGGCAGTTGGAGAGGGAGTTCAGTTGTTGGACACGCTAAGGTTGAAGTGCCTTTACAACACTGGTCAGAGATATTTGGAGGCAATTAAAGAGAAGGGTCTGGAAAACAGGGCCAGAATCGGGAACTTGGGAGTCATCACACACCATGCTTAGGTCATGCCATGAACATGACAGCAAAGGAGAAAGGTAAAGCAAAAAGAGAGCCCTGGGGAATAGCATTCTCTGAGCAGAGGAGCTGCCAAAGGCCATGGAGATCAAGTCAGAGAGGCTGGAGAAACAAGAAAGGCTGGTGTGCTGGAGGCTGGCGCACAAAAACCTTAGCAAAAGCCTGGAGCCTGTGCACACTGGGGGAGCAGCAGAGAGAAGGGCTACCTGGAGGGCGGCACAGTCATCCCGGGGCCACAGGTGCTCGAGAAGCTGCACGTCTCAGGGACTGGAAAGAAAACTAGTATTGAAAAAACACTCCATGCAGAGCAAAAAGGGGCCAGGAGCCCTCTGAGGGCAACAGTGGAGGGTTAGAAACCCCCTTGTGGGGTGAGGAGGGGAGACTATTTTATCATTTGAGATTGTGAAAAGAATTCAAATGTTCTGGAGTCAGGAAGATTTGGGGTTTGAACTCTGACTAGTTATTAGTAGTGTGATCTTGGGTGAACTGATTTTCCTAAGCCTCAGGCTCCTCAAATGTATAATGAGTATGATACCACCTTCCTCTCAGAGTGGTGCTGAGGGTTAAATGAAATGACAAATACAGAACTTCAGCTAGAGCCTGGCACATGGTCAGCATTCCATACATAGTTACAGCACCTTATGAAACCTCAAAGAGCCATATGCTTAATTTGCTACCAGAAAAGGGCAGGGCTGTGGGGGGCAAGGAGCTATAAAATGACATCCCATTCCCTTCCAGAGAATTTCAGGAGAGAAAAACCAAGCACTGGTCATCGGTCCTGGCAGCAAATGGAGCAGCAAATGAGCCAACCCTCTGTACTTCCACGGGGGGAAAAGTTGATACATAAACCAGATTTGGATTGAAAATTTTCCCTAAGAGCATGAAACACAAAACAAGCTAAAACTAACACTCCAGCAGAAGCTGTGTCACGGACACCCTAAGAATGGAAGGAGATGTGGTGAAGGAGACAGTTATGAATATTTTGGGAACATGATTTGGTGTGTAGAGTTGGGGAGAAATCATCATAAATATTCTGGAAACAGTAAAAGGCCACAGATAACTATGCAAAGACACAGCAGTGGATGGAGAAAAAAGGTCCCAAACTTTCTAAGAGACCAATGAGGGAGTCAGCAACACTGGAGCTTGGAAATACTGAAAAGAACACAGTCACTCAGGGTGGAATAGCAGAGGGTCGCTGATACCAAGGACAGCAGGATGGATCACACACTTCGGGAGGAAGTAGCAGGGTCCCAGGTGCTCCAAGAGTACCAAGGGGCTTACAACACAGTCTTAAACACACACACACACACACACGCGCACACACACACACACACACACACACGAGAAGGAACAGCAGCCGTCACAATCAGGAGGACAGGGCGCACACACACACACACACACACACACACACACGAGAAGGAACAGCAGCCGTCACAATCAGGAGGACAGGAGTCCTAAGAGAACACAGGACCACCACATGTCCTAGATCCTCCAGGACACACTCAATTCCAAATATTCCATTACACTGTTCATTTAATAAAATATTGCTGAATGTGAAATTGTTTGGCAAATTATTGCTGAATGGAACAATCAGTAAACATTAAAATACATATTTTCTATTGGCAAAAGATGACATGCACAAGAGAGTGATGCCCAGTGTTCAGTGAACAAGCTGGTTTTTAAAAAATGGCATAATTCAACTTTATTTTTATTTTTTAAAATATGTAATACAAGTATATCTGTGGACACAGGAAAGATTGTTGAAGGAGCTATAACTCTACAGTGTTAGTTTCTAATGGAATTACAAGTGATTTTTTATTTTCTTTATGCTTTTCTGTATCCACTGAATTTTTCTGTAGTTAGCAACTTTTGTTGTTATAACCCAAAAAAATGAGATATTTTCATTTTGGGAATACAAAAAATAAAATAAAAATAAAAGATTGAAAGTCACAAAATATGAAGAATGATAAAGAAAAATCACAATTACATGAGAAAATTGATCCCTACTTGCTCAGATGAAAAGCCTGTGAACACAGGCCTCCCAAAAATTGGTAAGTAATCCAAAACGGACAGGCTAGGATATGTGTCATGGCAGTGAATATTTCACTACCCCCTTGGGGTGTCAAAGTGTTCACAACTTTTTTTTCCCAGACATAGACACACTGGAAAAACACTCACTTTTAAAGGAGATTTATAACAGGAATTATCTGTTCATTGGTTTTAAAGAGAGGATGGGGGGATGTCACTGGCCAGTACAGGGATTGAATCCTGGATCTTGGTGTTATCGGCACCACACTCTAATAAACTGAGCTAAGTGGCCAGCCCAAAAAGAGGATTTTTAAAATGCCCTGGCCTTCTTTCTTTCACTGCCTTTTCTTCTCATGGTCAGATACTTTTCAGGATAAATAGGTCCTACTCCAATACTCTCCATTTCCTTATCTAAGGATTGGGCCAGCTGGATACCTTCTATTAAAAAAAAACCTATTGTTAATACATAATTAGACAGTTGGAGATAGTGTTTACTCTACCTTTCCCTCCACTGGCCTTGTAGGACTTCTATATCTGTCTTGTTTCAATGTGTGAATGCTGGTCTTGAAGAAGACACATGGATTTAAGAGGTAGGCTTGACCCTAAAATGCTGGCAGCACCCATACATCTGGAACATTTGCAGTGCTCCTTGACAGATACATTAATCCAAAGATGCAATGAGACCAAAAGCATATGATAAAAAGACAGGATTGGTTCCCAAACAGAAAGAGCAGAAGTTTCTGCCCTTCTCGATAAAAGCCCTATTTGTGATGGGGAAGACCAAAGACAACTGACTGCTGTCTCTAGCTTGGGGACCTGGGTGAGTAACGACACTATGCAGTCAGAGGAGGAAATACTGGTGAAAGATTAGGTTTGGGGAAGGTGAGTGAAGAAGATGTGCTCAGTTTGAGACATGATAATGTTGAAGTTCCCGTGGGACATCCAAGTAAAGATGTCTGGAAGGGAGTTGGATGTATAGTCTATACCTCCAGATGTCGGAGACAGAGATTCAGGAGGCATCAGAATGAGGTGGAAACAGAAGCCTCAGGGCTGGTTGATATCACAACTACACAGAGTAAGAAGATAATGGGCTCCTGGGTGGAAGCCTAAGGAATTCCGATATTTAAAGGATGGACAGAAGGCAAAGACCCCACCAAGAAAACTGAGAAGGAATCGTCAGTGTTCTTAGGCTAATGTGAACGCTGTCAAAATATTCACATTTTTCCGAATCTGAAGAATGCAAATGAAGACACTGAGATCATTTTGTTGATTTTATCTAAGTGCAGTACAGATAAATGTTATATTTGAAAACAAGATTTCTGAGGCTTTTCCTAAGAGAAATGCAAGTACCAACAAACACATGAAAAAATTGTTCAACCTCATTAATAGAAATGCCAATTAAAATACACATCAAATTGAACTTTGGATATAAATAAATGTATCCAAATATAAACTGTTTAATATAAAACAGTTTATAATTTAAATTATAAACTGTTTGTTTATATGTTAGCTAATTATATTACTTGAGACTGACACGGGTGCAATGAAACAGGCCCTCTCGTCACTGCTGGTGGGACTAACTGGAGAGTAACTTGTCCAAGTCCATCAAGCACCATCAAAGTCCTTACACCCTTTGACCTAGTAATTCTACCTCTTAGATTGATTCATATGCAATTAATTAAATTCATGTAAAGGATTTACATAAAAACTGATGTAAATGGATTTCTGCTGTGCCAGTACTAATAAAAGCAATAATTTATTTTAAAATTTGAGTGTATAATTATATGAAAATAATTAAATTGTGCTACATTCATATGGTGGCACAGCACACAATTACTAAAAATCATGTTTTGAATAATTAAGCATTTCCATGATGTGAAAATGCTCAGTATACAATACTAAATGAAATATGCATGATAATTCCAATTTACTATAAATGCACACATATACATAGATACAACAGAAGAAAATACTCAAAATATTCCAAAACAATAATAGTAATTGGTGATGATAGAATTACAAATAAAATTTTCACTGTCTTCTTTAAACAGTTCTATATTTTCTCAATTTTCTACAATGCACATTGTAGAAAACAGAGAAATTATGTTAACTGATTATCTTAGATTTTTGTGATTGAGAATTCATTTATGTTGATAAACAATTCTGTATAATCAAGAGACATTCATAGCCACTAAAACTCAGAAATCTTTCTTAATGATCCCAAAGACTGACTCAGTGCTATGCCAAAAATGTTGATAAAAAGCCAAAAAAAAAAAACTATTGACTAAACTGTTTTATTCAAACATGTATGAATATAAACAAGATCTCATCAATTTCAACTAAATATGACATCTCAAATGTTGTATTTACTCAATATAATCTTTATGCTCATTTTCTTTTTTTTTTTTTTTGTCTTTTTTCCATGTCCGGCAACGGATCGCAACCCTCAGTGTTGCCCCTGTACCGGACCGGGGACCGGCAACGGGATTGCAACCCTTGGTGTTGCCCCCGCGCCTCGCTCAGCCAGTGAGCGGGAACCGGTCTGTATGTGGGATCCGAACCCTCGGGCGGGAGCGCCGCCACGCTTCCCAAGCGGCGCACTTATCCAGTGCGCCACCGGGCCGGCCCTCAAAACTTTTGTTATTTTATGTTTTTTAGAAAAGTTAAGTCATTAGTTGTATGACTAAAGAGTGATTTAATTTGTGTAATTTTTAAGACTTTTCCTAAAAATAAAAGCTATGCGTAAGAAAAAAATTTCCTTGTTAGATCTTGTGTCCCGATTTTTGTTTTACATAACATATTGTTCAAAAGTATAGATAAAAAGAAATTTTATAATAAAGATGGCAGCAAAAGTCAATGAAGAAAGAAAAAACAGTATGATGAATAATGCTGAATCAACTAATTAGCTAGCTAGAAAAAATTAATTTAGATTCCCATCTTACGCCATTCATTAAAATAAGTTCCAAATAGATAAATGAGTTAAACATTTGGGAAAAATTTTTAAGAAGAAAAAAACTTTACTGCTTTCTAAATGAAGAAGTATTGAGCTTAAAAAAATATAGCCACAAAGGAAAAGATACTTCGATTGGAACATTAATATCCTACCCATTAATTGGCCTAAGAATATGAGCAGAGGATTCACCAAAGAAGAAATAAAAATAAGTACTAAAACATAAAAAATGTTCAACTTCGCTATATTCAAAGAAATACAAATTAAAACAAGGCGCCATTTTTAGTCTCAAATTAGCAAAGATTTTTCAAAATGACAATACATTCTATTGAAATTTATGTGAGGGAAAAAACCACTCATTCACTGCTGATTTATGGTGTAAATTGGTACACCCTTTCTAAAAACTCAATTAGCAACAGATAATAAGCCAGAAAATCTTCACACCCTTTGATGTAGTAATACATTCGTAGGAATCTTAAGGAGACGATCTAAAATGAGGACAAAAATTTAGAAACAAAAACGTTCATTACAGCAATGTGGATAATAGCAAAAACTTTGAAGTAAACTAAATAAAATAAATTTATATTAATGATTTAGAAGTGTTTAATTTATGGTATGTTAAGATGAGTAGCATGATGTCAATAAAAATCCTCTTTCCAAATAATTTTTATTTTATTTATTTATTTGTTTGTTTGCTTATTTATTTATTTACTGGTGGCTGGCCAGTAAGGGGATCCGAATCCTTGATTTTGATATTATAATATGGTGCTCTAACCAACTGAGCTAACATGACAGCCCGAATTTTTAAATTATATAGGAAGGTCTATGACATAAAGTTACATCACAAAATTCAAAATTATATCCATGTAGCATGACATTTAAAAGTTGTATAATACACACATTCATAAAGTTTCTATTAACCTGCTTGTTTTACACTATCGTGAGAAAATATCTGGCTTTTCACTGAATTTGGAGGGTGTATGTGGGGTGGTCTGACCTAAAATACAGACTATGTTGAACAAAAACAATTTGCTCTGTGGCTGCCAAAGAATTAGACAGTCATTCTCCAGAAGAGATTTAGGCATGATCTGTGACAGAACCATTCCACACTTGAAAAACAGTAGATAGCTTGTTCAAAGGAAGGAACAGCAGGAATTTATTAAATAGTTACTACGGATTTCCCTGAGCAACAAAGGACCAGCCAGCAAAATGTATTATGCATGAGTATATGTGGGTGTGCACACATGTTAAAAAGATAGAAGGAAATAACCTAAAATATTAGCCGTGGTTTTCTAAGTAGATATATTCTAGAACTGCACTAATACAAGGGTACTTCAAAAAGTTCCTAAAAAGATTCGTATTATCTTCCCATCCTATTTTTCCATGAATTTTTTGAGGTACCCTTGTATGGTAGCCACTAGAAACATGCTTTATTTACATTAAATTTAATTTAAAATACCTTCCTTCAGTGGCACTAGTCACATTTCAAGGGCTCAATAGCACAATAGTTAGTGGATACCATACTGGACAGGGCAAATAAAACTTTTCCATCATCACAAGAAGTTCTATTAGACAGTAGTGTTCTAGAAGACTTTTCTACGTTCTTTATACTTTCCCCAAATTTATTACAATATGCATTGTAGTAGATTGCTCTTATAAGCAGAAAAAATAAATACTATGAGAAAAGAAAATGAGGTCAACAAAGGAAACAATCACACTCACAGAATTGCAGAGGACATATTCTCTAGAGAGAACGCTGGGAAAATAATACGCTGTGGGGAAAAGCAGGTAGTCACAGGCACCCAGGAAAGAACAGGAAAGGCTAAAAAGAGATGTGGGAATAATCAACATTCCGAGGAAAGCAAAGACACAGAAATTCCAACAGCAGGGGCAGGGAAGGAGGCAATCAGAGCATGAAGGCACAAGTTCTTGTCTCTCCCCACTCACCAGCCATTACAGCTGCTGAACGCTGAGCTGGCTCAAAAGGACATTTCCCCCGGCCACTTTCAAGTCCTTCAACCTGCTGGAAACTGGACACATCCTACAGACCAGAAGGGGGCAATTGGTTTAGGGGTCACAGGGAAGGTTTATGGTGAGAATTACAAAGATGGTCAGAAGAAGGAAAATGGCAATTCCCATTCATCTCCCCACCCCCCACTACCATCCCCATATTCCCAATCAGCTATTTCTGCTTCCCCCACCCATTCCTGCATGTCTCATCTCTGCTATCCCCTTGTCATGCATTTATTACTCTTCCCCCAATTCCCCTAGTACAACACCCAAATGTCCTGATGAAGGAACACCTAGGATGACCCTACAAGACACTAAGAGGCTGAAAGCTAGGTCTTTCCTCTGAAACACTGCTGAATTGTAGGATTTGAAACTTGCTAGAGAATGTGCTACAAGGCAAGAAGGACCAGAGAAGAAAGGCCTCCTGGGGGCTGGGGCCCTTCGGAAGAGTAAATAAAAGTTCAGGCTGATAGAGGACCATCTAAAGCCCAGGGGCCTAGAGAGAAGGGATATCTTCCCCCTCCTCCCACCTCAAGGATGAAAGGCAGGGCCACAGTTATACATCCAAGAGGGAACGAGGATCTGCAAAGTCGGTGAAGAGTGACCTGAAGCTCAAGTCAGAATCTGAGGGTTTGAAAAGTTAGTACCTTCTTCATCATGGGATTCCAGAGGGATTGACCTGGACAGGGGTGAGAGGTGCAAGAGTTCCACGAGGGCTACGCAGAAGTTACCTTAGTCTAACATCCAGCACTAAGAGAGGCTTCAAGATAACACCTAAAAATGGAAATCAAAGATGACTTCAATCTAGGACTGAGAGGGAAGTTAACTGTGGCTGATTGGAAATTAAAGTTATGGCATGGAAATGCCAGACATGATATCACTACTTCATGAACGGGGGTGGACATATGGTGTTGCTGGAGCCCAGTTACTTTGATGGTAGCTGGAGTAGCAACATATATGTCCCCTGAGCATAAGTATACTACTGGTCCATTCGGCTTGCTCATCTCTGCTGTAGGTGACAAACAAGGTTTTATTTTACTGAGAGAGTGTTGAAGAAGGCCTATTAAAATTTGATGTGATCTGAGGTCTCCAAAAAGGGAATACCGGGTCAAAAGAGCCTCCACAGAGGCACAAGCACTCCACCTGTGTGGCATTGGGAGCATCCTTGCCCAAGGAGAAAGGTGACAGTTCCATGAGAAATTACCAAGATGTTTGAGCACTCTGAAAATGGGGTTAATACCTGCTGCTACTTCCCTTTTTACTTGTCACCTGAACTACGGCAGTAAACTCCTCTTCTCCACACTATCTAGCCCCAACCCCAATTTAGTCTATATATGCACCCCAGATTAATCTTCTGAAGTATCAGTCACTAACTTAATAATACATTTTTGTGTAAGAGAATGACAAAATGGCCACAATTGCCTAGAGTACAAACTCTTTAGCTCAACCTATCTACTTTCTACTACTTCTCAAAATGACCTTTGTTCTAGGCAACCAGATCACCAGTTATTCCTGGAAAACAAATTATGTTTTCCCATCTCTATACCTAAAGCTAATTAATCCCTTACATTTCACCAAAGACTGAAAAGATAAGCCTTTTCTTAGTTCTCATTCTCTTCCATCTCTATGCTCCATTTGATACTTCTGACTCATTCTCTTCCTTCAAATATTCTATTTCTTGACTCCCTTGAAATGTTATTATCCTCCTCAAGTCCTTCCTATCTTTTATTTCTCTTCTTCTTCTTTCTAGCCCCTACATAAGGATCTACCCTTAGTCCTTTTCACATATTCTTCAAAGATCTTATTCATTTTTTCATTTCCAACCAGACATTCTATGCAAACCACTCCCCCAAACTCTCCAAGTCTGATGTCTTCCAAACTCTAGCCCATGTTTTCATTTTACTGCTGGACTTCCTCACAGCGATGGCCTATTAGCCTCTTAAAACTCAACATGTCAAAACTAGTCCTCTTCCATTTTCCCCGATGGCATAATAACGTCATCCAAATTTCTAACCTTTGAGAAAGTGAGCCTCCTATTAACTACATAGGTTATGACTACTGTATGGTCAAAATGACATTTAACTAGAGTCTCAAAGGGGTAAGACCATTCCACTACATTCTCTATCTGGATGCCAAGATTCCTCATTGAATTGTCATTGTGTCAGTCAGAATAGTCTCTCAAAATCAGTTGTGGTGAAGGCAAGTCCCTCAAGCTAAACACCAGGGCTGGACAGGAAGGCTGTCACTGAGCTGTGGGGTTGAAACCAGTCCTTTGGCCTTGGCCAAGAAGGGTACAAGTCATATAATAGACCTCTCCCAGGATGTTAAGAAAAAAAAATAGGGGAAAGAAAAGAGAGATGGTCTCTGTTACTTGAAACACATGATACCTAATTTCTCACACATGAACCTCAGTTTCCTTACTTGTAAAATGGAAATAAATAATTCCTAAATATCATGATGTGGTGAGGAGAATTAAACTCAATCATGCATGTAAAGTACCTAATGCCAAGCCGTCAACAGAGCAAACTCAATTGAATGGTTGTCATTGTTGTTGTTGCTGCTGTTGTTAGAAGTCTAACATTCTTCTCTTTAACTGCTAGGATTTCTTTGGCAAAACAAACTAAAATATTTTCCTCCAATGTCCAGTGAGCTGTCACTGAAGGATGGCATTCCACATTGTTGAAGCTGGTAGATACAGTGCTTGAACCTCCTTTTTGTAAAACTTTCATTTCTCCACATTCTACTCTGAGCAAACTGTTGTATCTGGATCAAAACTCTCAGATAATAGTAATATATAATCTCAAAGTAATAAGTCTCAGACATGAGAAGGTTTAACACTAAGGATAAGGCAAGACCTTGGCCAAGCAGTCTAGAGTTACCAGGTAGCAGGACAAGATAGGTAAAGGCAGAAGAGAACCTTCAAAAAGTCTACAAAGCAGACTCTGGCTGTGGCTTTAAAGGTTAACAGGGTTGACTCTTTGGGGCTACGTCCCATATTGTCCTGTGTACAAGATCTGGCCAAAGAATAGTCCCTCATTCCATAAACCTTTTAGATAGGAGGGTACAAAGAAGGAGCCAAACTCATGGAAGTGCAGAACACAGACCCCTGGCTTCACTCTTTGTTGCTGATGTTCCTCAAGAATGGATAGGGGTCCAAGTCACACCAATCCTGACAGGTATGTCCAGAACATTCCCTGTGAAGACATCTTATCTAACAATGATTAGAGTCCCACCTCAGAGAACCAAGGAAAAATAGGAAGCCCTAGGAAATTAACTTGGAATGATTACATTGTCTATGAGCCATGGCTCTGGTATTCATACCCATGGAATCCCCAGGCCTGTGCAGACTGGAAAATGATAAATATGACAATGGCAATACAACCACTACCTGTGAGCTTTGTGAGAACTGTAGGGAAACTAGACCCTCAACATTACCTGATGGTATATATAGAAAATTTCTATATAGAGATATTTTCACCACCATCCTGAAGTAGGAAACCTTCCCAGGATGAGAAGCTATACAGACCTTGATAGGGAGCCTACTACCACATTATGAAAAGAACTCAACATAAGTCCAACCAACCCGAAGGGCAGCCCAAAGGGACTAACTGGAGCAATGAAGCATAGACAATTACAGCATCCTGAGGGGTTTGGAGATATACATTGACTAGGTCTAGGTGGCAAGGATCCCTGCACACTGCAGAAAAGTCAAGTCAAGATCTGTAGTTAAGGATCAGGGTCAAGAAAGGGAATTGTTGCACTCCCTCCTACTGCTCTACAGAGCAGAAACAGAAGCCACTGGGTACAAAGGACATGTGAGGCTTTTGACTCACCCCAGGGCCTTGTCACAAATGTGTGCTTCCAGAGGACCAGTGCTAACTACTGTATACATGAGGAGAAAAGCTGAAAGTTCAAAAACAGTCACCATTCTCGGGGACTCATATGGCCATGAGTAATGTGATTAGGGGGTATACATGTCCCAAGCCTGCCTGGATCTAGAAGAAAATGTGGTTGACAAAGTACCCATTCCGAAGGCAAGATCCAGAGTATGGGTCCAGCAGGTACATTAGTGGACAGTGACATCAGAAGCCATGAGAGCACAGAGTCACAGCCCACACAGAATGAAATTGGTAGTGGAGGTGGGGGAAGGTGGTGAGAGACAGTCACATGCTATGGGAGGAAGAAACAGGCCTAGGCTGCACTGATTAAGAAACGGACCTGGCCTGCTTAGAAAAGCATATACAGGGCAAGGGAAACATGAGTTACTTACTGGTTTCTGAAGTCTCTCCTGGATTTGTCATCTCCCCAGCCCAGCCAGCATCTCTAACTTCCTTCACCATCCCATGTCTCTCTTTACTGTTTACTCTATGCTTCACACTCTAATGCAACCTCCCTCTACCTCTCCTCTACCCTCCCTCAGTGGCAGACAAAGGCTCCACCCCGTGAGGACATCCCCTACTCCCAATGCTTATCATGCACAATGGATGCCTTAACCATGCCCCCACCACAATCACTCACAGAAAACCCTTCCCATCCTCCCATCCACCACTCCCAAGTAACTCACACTGGTATAGGGCTCCCTCTCCCTCTCCTTCTCCTACCACCCGTCACTCACAATAACCCCGCACTTCGGATCAAAAGCGAAGGTGCCACAAGTGAGGAGGTGAGAGGCATTGGCAATGGCGATAATCTGGACAAAATTGTGACATTCATCCTGGGGGTCAGAGATGGTTAGAGAGAATCAGAAGCAGCAGGAATGAGGAAGGGTATGGTAGTGTCAGGACTGTTAGATGCAGCTCTGGAATCAGAGATGATGGGTAATGGCGTGGTGTTAGAGTCCCTGCCTGGGCCCATTGGGATGGGAGCACTACAGGGGACTGACAAAGCATCAGGGCTGGGCCAAGGTCTAAATTGGCACTCAGGACAGGGCCCAGATTTACACCTACCTCTTTCTTGCCTTTCTTCCTACAGTTCTGTCTGTGAGCCTCAGGAACCATCCAGTCAATCTGAGAAAGGAGAAGTTACCATTTTCCCAAGATTCCCCCTGAAACTCCATTGAGGTCAAGGGAGATGAGACAGTTCCACAACCTCCACCAATTTGGGAACTTCAGACCCCTAGAGCACTGTTTTCAAACTGGAAGTCCCCACCCATTAATGAGTAAGAAATCAATTGTGAGATCACAACCAACCTTATTTTTAATAAAACAGAATATATCAGAATGTATCACATATAGGAGAGCAGATATTGTTTCAAGAGAGGTTTCTTTCAATACACACTTGTGTACTGGGGCACAATACTCAGTATTACTATAATTACTATAGTTATTACTATACTGAGTATAGTGGTCAAAAAGTTTGAAAGCTGTTTCCCCAAAACATTGTAATTCTAATGATCCCTCAACCTACTGTCACCTGAAACCTGGTCACTGTGGCCCCCTCCACATCATCAGGAACCTCCCTCACTGTCTCTCAGTCAACCTGACCCTCCATAACCCTGAGCCAAGACAATGAAGCAGACAATCTCCCCCTGTTCATTTCCCCCAATTCTCCCCTTCCCACTATCAACACTGTTACATCTTTAGTTATTATAAACCACTGCCCCCCAAGCCCATAAAACTATGGATCTAATCACATGCTAATGGGTCTGGTGTCTCTCACCCTGCGGGGTCTCTCCCCCGAGAAGGGCAGGGATAAAGCGAAGATCGTGTCCCGGGCGCCAACATAAAGTCTGTAGGAAGCAGGATCCACAAGGAGAACAGAGTAATTGTATGTCTGAGGGACAGCGAACCGGGTGAGATAGGAGTCTGCCTCTGGCAAAAAGAGATGGGGAGAGGGGAGAGTGGTATCAGCCTTCTCTTAATAAGAATGGGGTCCACAAGGGCAAGGCCAAAGAGGCCAGAGCCTTGACAAGCCAACCATAGATACCTGATGGGGTCAGATTATTTAGCTCACAATCCATTCAAGTGTGCTTTTTCTATAAAAATAGAACACTTTAATAAAATAGCAGCATAAATATTAAGCCTATAATTTCTATTCATAGCAATATGGTACATAATTTGAAAATATCTATAAAAGGTACAAGGACTTTCCTAAAATTCTTTTTTTAATCACTACTTAATGATAACTTCTTTTTCTTTTTTACTTAGAAGGAAAATGTTTCACTCTTTTCACCAACACTTTAGGAGTCTATTTCCTCTCTCTCCCACCACCCTTGACCTCACTCCCCCCACCCACCATTCCTCCCAAAGAGATAAAGAGTGTAGTGGGAAAGAGTATATGTTCTGGAAATGAGTCAACCTGAGTTTAAATGTGGCTTTTCCACTTACCAGATGTATAATCTAAGTTATTTGCCCTCTCTGAGCATCACTTTCCTCATCTGTAAACACCACCATCTAGGGGTGCTGGGAGACTTAAGTGACTTGACATATGTGGAAGCTCCTGGCACAAAACTACACGTTTCACAAATGGTTCCTTTCTTCCTTCCTTAGGCATGTGTTCTGTTTTGGCAAAATCTAAACCTCATATCAGCATTCAAAACTCTTATCTACTTAAAGATCATAACAAATGGCCGGCCCGGTGGCGCACTGGATAGTGCGCCGCTTGGGAAGCGCGGCGGCGCTCCCGTCCGAGGGTTCGGATCCCAC